GCTTGCTTTTTTTTTTTTTTTTTTTTTTTTGTCTTTTTTGAGACGGGATCTTGTTCTGTCACCCAGGCTGCTGGAGTGCAGTGGTGCGATCTCAGATCACTGTAACTTCTGCCTCTAGGCTCAAGCAATCCTCCTACCTCAGCCTCCCAAGTAGCTAGGACCACAGGTGCATGCCATCATGCCCAGCTAATTTTTTGTATTTTTGGTAGAGATGGGGTTTTGAAAGTGTTAGCCAGGATGGTCTCTTTTTAAAAAAAAAAAAGAGAGACGGGATCTTGTTCTGTCACCCAGGCTGCTGGAGTGCAGTGGTGCGATCTCAGATCACTGTAACTTCTGCCTCTAGGCTCAAGCAATCCTCCTACCTCAGCCTCCCAAGTAGCTAGGACCACAGGTGCATGCCATCATGCCCAGCTAATTTTTTGTATTTTTGGTAGAGATGGGGTTTCACCATGTTGCCCAGGCTGGTCTCAAACTCCGGAGCTCAGGCAATCCACCTGCCTCAGCCTCCCAAAGTGCTGGGATTTCAGGTATGAGCCACCACGGCCGGCTGGACCGGGAGCTTCCTGAGGTCAAAGGCTGCATCTTATTCATCTTCATGCCACACCTGTCATTCCTAGCATGGTACCTGCCTACAGCATGATTCCTTACACACATGCACTATGTTGAAAGGGTGAACAAACCACCACTTTATCTTTAACAGATGGGGAGACTAAAATTTAGACTAGGGAAGGGATCCTTGGTTCCATAGCAAGCTGGCAAGGCAGGGAAATAGGATCTCCAGTGTCTGGTGAAGGCTCCATTTTCTTTTCTACACCCCCTGGGTTCACAGAGAAGGCAGGCAGACTTCTCTCATTTCCCCACAAAAGCCACAGGTAAAGGTGTTTATAGCTTGGCAGCTAACCAAGGCCACAGCCACGCCAACAGGTCACAGCTTGACCCTGGCAAACATTTTTTTTAAAACTGGTGTTAATAACCATGCTTCCTACTATAATCTGAAAACTGTACCTCCATGCTGAGGACATGATAAACCAACCCCCAAATTCAGGCCATAAAACATGGGCTCGTCTAACCTGTCACCTGCATAATAATTATTTTCAAAAATTATGTAATAATAATTAGTCATATTTGTGAAAAGCCTTTTCTGTGTAGAGCCCTTTTTTTTTTTTTTTTTGAGATGGAGTTTCGCTCTTGTCACCCAGACTGGAGTGCAATGGCACAATATGGTGTCCTTATTTTTGGTAAGAATTCTAATAACTATATCTATCTATCTAAGTCAGTCTTTTATGATCACACTGTTTTAATCATATCAATCAAAAATCTCTAATTGAATGTAGTATGTAGACCTAATTGATAAAAACAAGAAGACAAAATATCTCTCAAATAGTCAGTGCAGCTTTTGGTGGGTCAAATCTTTATATAACATCCTTTATGAAGAATGACTGGGAGCAACTCATTTGTTCTAGACTTCATACATTGATCAGTGAGTCAATCTGAAGCCCTGATTAGAGAAGTGACCTATCCTAGGTTACCCAGTGAGGGAGAAACAAAGCTCAGGCTGACTTCATAGAATCGAATAATTTTGTTGTCAGAGACACCTTAGAGGTCATTGTGGTTTGCACAGAGCTGATCTCTCCTTTACTCGACACCCTCCCACAATTATCTATCAATCTGTCTGTCCCCCTAGTCCCACCTCCTAGCTCTGGACTAGGAGCCTCTTTTTTTTT